TGATAGGGTTTTCTAATTGTGTACCTACATACTTCCAATAAATGCTTGTCAGGATTTACATAACCAAAAGTGTCGTTGATAGATTCTAAAATGAATTAAGAGTTTATAATCATCCTACATTGACAACAAAACAATTTTAAAATTTCTACGATGTCATCATTCTTGTTCAACGACAATCGAACCGTCTTTTCCTGCATAACAAAGAAAAAAATATACAAATAAATATTCTTTCAATTATTCACAGTTCTAGTTCTGAATGGTAATATTATTTTCCTTATTAAGAAAACAAACAGAAGTATGTACCAATCTTACTTTATCGAGTATATATAGAGAATGAACAATTAACTACTATGTCATCCAAGGTATTCAAAAGTGCAACTACATCTATTCACCATGCCAAGTTAGATAATGGAGTAAAATACTGCGATCTACAAATATTTAGCGCATCGCTCACGGTATACCTATCTAAGCCATCCCGATAATCAACCCAAATTGAAGCAATAATCGAATAAATCTAATTATACAATTTAATTAGTGAGAGCAATAATTGAATAATCTCAAATCAAATTAAAATGAATCTAAAATAGAAATTAATAATATTAAACTAAAAACATAAATTATTTTTAAGTTTTAAGAAAAGAACAAACAGAGTCTTAGAATACAATCCAATTCATGCCACTAGAAAAGAAATTTAAAGCAATTGAAATTGCAGAAAAAATGAACATACTTCCCTGCTCGTGTTGTAATAATTGAGATAAGAAACTAAAGCAGATCTAACCTTATTTCTCAGCATAGTCGGATTCAGATCTACAATTCGATGGAGGGTTTTGTGTTCTTCAAGTCTATGGCGCAATCCCTCCTGAGAGAACCGTTAGGGTTTCTACCGTTACTACCACGATGAGATATGAAAAGTAATGGATGTTGCGTCTAAAACTGGGATCACAACCCTATTTATATCCCTTATTATTAATTGGTTTCATCACCGAATTAATAAATTATCGGGTTTCTGCACATAGGAGGCCCGCACTTACTAAATACATCTAAGCCCAATAAATAAATCACTTAATATAGGCTTAATCTGATTGATAAACTAAATAGTTACATTTAACCCACAATTGGATTTTTAATCCAACAATCTCTCACTTGGGTAAATGTACAATGAATAACTTTATGAGCTCATGAAATTTGCTATCAGATTTTTTAATGTATATTACCAATCTTATCTATAAGTCACATCAGTGCGGATCAAAGCGGTCGTCACTGCATCTATCGCAATGGGACCGATCAGTGGTCACAACACTAATATAACCTAAGATTCGATCAAGTGCAGATGCACAACATGGAAATTTCATGTAATGTGATCTTAATACGCCTATTTCCAACTGATTCACATTAACTTTAATTCAGAACAACTGAATACTGAACAGTGCATACTGAATACTGCAGTACAAAATAAAGTAACCATAGTGTATTTGAACATTACTAATTAGCTCCCACTAAACCAAAATATCTTATATGGTTCCACTCTCATACGAGCAACATGCTCAATATAGAATTTATGTGGAAACCCTTTAGTAATTAAGCGGATCCACAATCATGGAAGTTATATGAATATGTTCAATAACTAATTCATGACATGAAGTCAAACTATTAAGCATATGATGATTATTATCATCAAATAATGTACTAGTTCCAACCAATTTTGAATTCTGGAAAAGACAAAACTCTATATCCGAATGAAAAATAATAATCAAATTTGTTCAAAATATAGATTGAAATTAAATTTCGACTAAAGATGGTACCATAAAAAATGTCTCCTCCAAATTCAAATAGTAACGAGTACTCAATAATAATCTAAAATTGTCAATGACTTCAACTTTAACCTTCTTATCATCACCCATATAGATGTATCTTTCAACATCAATTGATTTTGACAATAAAATAATCTTCCATAGACACACTGATGTGTGTTGTTACACCAAACTCCACCCCCAGGTGTGTCTATGAATTGAAATTAAATTAATTTAAAGAGCAAGACTAATAGGACAAGCATGTCCTCCGAAATATCTAACTTAAGTGCCCTCAATTTAGTAACAATAGTAGACATGTTCATGATGTACTCCCTTATGTTATGTTTGTCGTTATATTTTATGGTAATGAGACTCTTAAGAAGAGTATGCATTTCCACCTTATCGTTTTTGGTAAAGTGTTTTTGAATTTCGACAAGGAATCCGTATCATCATATATAGAACTCCTAAAATTTATGGAGTGTTTTTCTTGATGATAATCAGACTTAGGCGTTGGAACTATCCAATTTCTCAAATAACTACATTTCATATGCAGTGTTTTACGCTGTACGAGTGGGTTGGTCTACTCTTAATGCCAAGTCAAAATTCATATAACCAAATGAATCAATATTGATTCTTGTCAGTGCCTAAAGTTGTCCCGAGACAGTTTTGGGACTGAATAAATATACACATAAATATTCATAAATCATAATGAAGCTCAATAATAATGCATTCTCATCCCAAGATACTAAGTGCAACATCAATGATCAATCTTTGGATCAATAACATTGATTGCTAGCAGTCATCTTGTTGCAATAATCATATACGGACAATAAGTAATGTCAAACAACAACCAATCTTTAGACTGATTCACTATTCACATAATTTAAATCCATATAATCGTCTCATACATACTATCGCAGATATATATTTCATTTTGTCAATTATCAACTGCTTTTGGGCCGAAAAATAATCACATAAATTAAAATACACATAAACACTTACGTTTTCAAGAAAAAATCTTATATATGAGAGGTTACTTTGGCAATGTCAAATACTTGATCTTCACCGTCAAAACGCAGCATGCATTATTAATGAATTTATAATTTTGTTAAACTAAATTATAATCAGAATCACGTTCAATGTATACGAGTCTAATTCCATAAAAAAATAAAGAATGATTATTAGCAACCGAATACACATGTCTATAAACTACTGAATGCTCCGTATGTGAATTTATAAAATAAATTAGCAATCTTATCACAAGATATCGAGCAACATCAGCAAATGTCGTTGGAAAAATTACTGACTCACTAGTGATAAACTTGTTTTGACAATCGAATGTTGACAATACAGTAGTGTGTCAAACAACACCCTATCTTTGGACAGATCTATTATTCACACACAAATAACCAAATTATCATCACCATATTCAATGTCACTAAATATGCATATAACTATTTAATCGCTGACTTGCCTTTGGGTCAATCAACAACCTTATAAGTCACACACAAAACCTTCTAATATATAAAATAAACTGATTTACACAGCAGAGGCTGCTTTGGCAACATAACTGTTTCAACCAATTCATAAAATATATTATATTATTTATTGCTAATTAGATTCACCTTAAAGAAACTGGTACAAATATCATATATAAATGAAAACTTTAGATGTATCAATTAATTTCTGAACTTATTAAAATAATCAAGTCGTCCAAGAAGGTAGTAACTGCAGCGGAATTACACAAGCAAAATATATGTCACCCAAAGAGACTATAAATTAATATAATGAATATTTATAGTTGAATTTGCACAAGTACATATTGTCAAAATTAAATGTTGTTGTATCCCAAATTTAATTGGAAATTAAAATAGTTCATAATGAATCTGATTTTATAAAAAAAAACAGCACTAATGAATAATAAATAAATTTTGCACATATTAAATTTAATTGCAGATACATTAACATACGCACATTAATTAATAATTTTGTCATCATCAAACCGGATGGATATATATAAATTGGACATCAATTTCGACCCATCCGATTAATTAAATAAATAAATTAATCAAATTATAATTCCAAAAACATACAAATGACAAGTTTAATTGAATTCTCAAACATATAAGAATTAATTTGATTTCATAAAATCAAAAATAAAATAAAATAAATAAACTAAAGTGACCGCTGGCACATATGTAGTTGCGATTCCAAATTCCAATTGCATACTTATAAATATGAATACATATTTAATTAATTTAGTTACACAATGTAAATGAGTAAATGAACAAAGATATATACATGCAAATGCATATTTGATTCTATAATCATACACTAACCAAAATAAAATAAAATAAATGTACAATCCTGAAGTTATTGAATTCAATTGTAAATGCATTAATGTATGCGTATGCCAATTTATTTTACAATTAAATAATCAAATGATCTAATCAAAATTTCAAACATCATGCATCCATTAATTAATAAATCTTGCAATAATCAACCGGCCGCATGAATGCATATATACAGTTCCAATTGAACAATTAACGGTCTAAAACGATCCACTAATCCTACTTATGATTGGACCTTTTATGTATATATATATACATATATTCTAAATTCAATGAAACAAATCCAATGTCCCCACAATCGGTACATGTAACATGCTGGAAATTAAATTAAATAAGCATGGCAGGACAATCAAAGAAGAAGGCAATCGGAAGCATATTGTGAATCGTAATAAATTCAGTCCCGCATTATCCTAAATTAATCAATTGATATGCAAAATTCATGCAAACACCAAATATCATTCAATATATATATATATTTCACAAAAGGAATCACAAATTATTGCAATTAATTTCAATCACACACTAATTGCAATCGCACACTAATTAACATACATTTGAATACAGGGTACAGAGATCAATACACGAAAGTGCAAAATTCATATTCCAGATGGAAAGGGCAGTGCACAATTAAGAAAGAGTGTGGAGTTATTTTTGGCCAATGACTTGAGAGGCTAGTGATGCACCAATCCGACTCGCACAACCCGAAACCCAGATCCGGTAACCGCGAACCATTCCCAGTTTTTAAGAAACCGGCGGTCTGTTGCTGAACCGCCCCATTCGGAGCTGAACCGGTCTGGAACAGTATGATATATGTATGTGCTTGTGGCCGGTTCATGAGGCATTCTCACACTCTCACTCTTTCTCTCTCCCCAACGCGCGATTTTTCTCTCTAAAAGCCCTAACCCACGACGGCGACTCCAATCGATCTTCCTTGGGTTTTCTCCGGTGATCTGTCCGGCGAAGTGAAGGTTCTGGCTGAGGGCTTCGATATACAGCATGCTCTGAGGCTGTTCCTCGGTTTGATTTCTTGATCTGTGCATTCCTTACAGTGTATTCTGTATATTATCTGTTTGGGAGAGAATAGGCTTAGATCGTTGATGTTTTCCTTAGATCGAGGTTTGGTTCGCAAGATTGTTGCGTTTCTTTGGATGTCGATTGTGTTTGGGTCTGTGTTGTGCATTACAGTTGGTGTTGCAATTTTTTTTCGATTGGGTAACCTGAGTCCGAGCAGTAGCTTTCGTAATATAAAAGATTATTTAAGTTATTTGTTAGATTTGTGTGTTTCTTGTAAATATAAGGCTTGTCGATCTTGAATGTGTAACAACAAGTGGTATCAGAGCTTATAAGCCTTTTTATTTACTAGAAAGTCGAATATCAAGTTTTAATGGTGAACAACTTGTTCTCATTGTAAAAACCAAAAGGTTTTTGTAAATAGACTCAAGACTGTACGAAATCTTGTTTGAGAACATTACTGAAGTGAAAACCCTAGCTTGTGAGTGGCGTTTTTCACCCCTGTAAAGTTTGTTTTCTCATTGTGAAGGTCTGAAATAAGCCTTGAAGGAGATTAAGATCTAAAATCACCCATATATGGTTGATTTGTATGGTTTCTTTTAGTTGAACCATCCAAACTTCACTAATTTGTGTATTACAATAATTTGACAGGTGAAGTTACTTGGATTATGAAAAAAAAGTCAAAGGATTGTTGCGGAGCAAGGAGTGGGGTAAAATTTTGTTTTTTAAATTTCAGCAGTAAACGTGTTGTTGTGTGTTGTGTTTGTTTTGTTAGTTGATACGTGATTTGTTGTGGCTGTTGTGTGTTCTATTGTCAAGTCTTGTTTTGAATTAGATAAAAAATTGGTTTTTCTGTTGGAAATATTAACTGCCCTAGAAGTTGGTTTTTCAAAAGAAACTAACTCTCGAATTGGTTGATATTAATAAGTCAAAGTTGAGGTTAGCTGCAAATTCTGGTTTAGGTGTGCAGATAAATCTACTTTCCCTTAAAATCAATTTGTGTTAGTCTGGGCTGTTTCTTTGAAAATACAGTAGTTTTATGTTTTTTTTTTAAATCTGAAAAAATGGTAAATCAAACTTATTTTAACATATAGCCCTTCGATGGAAAAACTGACTTTGTTATTTGGAAACAAAAAATGAGAAGTGTTCTTATAACTCAAAGATTAATAAAAGCCGTGGAAATTGATCCAACGGCTGATATTCCTGCTACAAAAAGGAATGAGCTGGATGAACTTGCATCATCTTCCATTATTTTGAACTTAGCTGATCATGTAATAAGAAAATTAGATGTTTATGAATTAGCTAAGGATTTGTGGGACAAATTAAATGATATGTTTACTGAAACTTCTCTTCCAAATAGAATACATATTTTAGAAAAGTTTTTTAGTTACAAATTAGACCTTTCAAAGACAATAGATGAAAATCTAGATGTTTTTACCAAATTAATACAAGATATCAAACTAACAGGGGATAAAACAATAGATAATTACAACTATTTTGTCTTCTTAAATGCAATTCCTAGTTCATATTCAGATGTAAAATCAGCAATAAAATATGATAGGGATGTAATTACACTTGATATGGTTATAAATGGTTTAAAAAGTAAAGAAGTAGATTTGCAACTTTATAAATCTAACAAACAGTCACATGGTAAAGTCATGCATGTAAGGGATAGATCTTCTTTTAGACCTAACAAGAATGGTTCTTCTTTCAATAATAATAAATAAGGGAATAGTTCCTATAATAGTCAATATAAGAAGAAACCTAGAAGTAAGTCTAGGAATAGGTCTCAAACACCCTCTAAGTACGTTAGGAGGTGTTTTAATTGTGGGGATCCCTCACATTTTATTAGGAACTGTCCTAAGAAAGGTAGAAACAATGCTAACAATAATAGCAATATAAACAATGGAACAACCCCTGTTAATGCTACTTTAAATGAGCAAGCAAACTCGATATTACATCATGATTGTGTAGGTGAGGTGTTTGTTGTAACTGCTGAATGTTCGAATATAACAGATTTTAACAAAAATGAATAGTTGTTAGACTCAGCATGTACCTATCATATGACTTCTTTAAAAGAGTTTTTTTGTGATTACAAAACTCTTTCAAATTGTAATGTTACAATGGCAGATAATAGGGTATGTAGTGTTAAGGGGACAGGGACTGTTGTTCTAAGGTTTAGTTCTGGAAATATGCTGAAACTTTGCAATGTGAGACATGTACCAAATCTGTCAAATAACTTGCTTTCATGTGTTGGTTTCTCTTCCCTAGGCTTAGAGGGGTGATATATGCGATATTAGATAAATCTTTTGCTATATTTTAGACGGTTTTTGGATGCGAATTTTGTATATATGCTCCTAATGGTGTGTTTTTGAACTTTCTACTAGGCATTGAGGAGTTGGAAAATTTTGGGCATATTGGAGAGAAAAGCCAAACGCAGGAAGTTTTTAGGCGTGATCACGAAGTAGGAAGAATAAAAATTGCAAAAAGGTCCTTCGGGGTAAATTAGCAATTTTAGAATTGTTTGGTTTAAAGTACAAAGGGGATCTAAAGAGATGAATTGAAAAGGAGAGTTAGGGCCAATAAAGAAGGGAAAGAAGAAACGCAAAACCACGATCTCCCCTACAACCCATTTCTGAAAGAGAAGAGAAGCAAATGAGGAACTTTAGAGAGCAACGCAGATGAACTTCCGGGCACCTTTTTCTTCATTTCTAGAATTGGTTTGTTGTCAATTTTTAAACTTGAAGGCATGATGAACTCTTTGATTTATTTTATGTTTTTAATTGCTATGATTTGCGAGTAGTTTCATTTCTAGTGTAGGTATGAATTGATGTTCGGGATTGAAATTGTGAGACTTGGTTTCGATTAAAATTGGTGTTCATCGATGTTGGGTATTTTTAATTCTTCTAATTGATGAGTTTAGAAATCTTGAATTGATTATTGCGCACGTATCAATTTAGGATTTCATATCTATATTGGGGATTGGCATAGGTAATTGTGTAATTTTCCAATTGGCGTAGCAAACTAGAGAAGAACACTCTAGGGAATAATTAAAATCAATTTTTAAAACATCCTCGTAGGAGCTTGTTAAATTGAGTTGGGCCTTTCTATTTTTTTTTACTACTGTTGAGTTAGAAAACTACGGTCATACCTAGGATTCTTTCCCGATTAGAGAAATATCTAACGGTCGTACCTTAGCTATCGAAAAAGTAAGGAAAGGCTGGTTGTAAATGTGTGTAGATCAACTATAACCAATTTCCAACTAGTTGATGAATTTGACTTTTAGTCAATGATCAAATTTTATATCCCGAATGAAAAATTCATGCCTATGCTAGAGTTTAATCATATTTGGTAAACCGCTAATTTTGCATTCTAGTTAACTTGCATTTATTGAGTAAATTTTATTCTTCCTTATTTAGTGTGATAATCAAATCCCCCCAATATATATTAATATATTTATAATCAATCAAATAGAGAAAGAATTAGTGTTTCCCTGCGGAGACGACCCTACTCACTACTGCTATACTGCATATTGTGGGACGTAGGAATTGATATTTTATTTGCAGCTGTGCGACAGGCTAGCAATTTTGGTGCTGTTTCCGGGGAACAGTATAAGAAGTTTTGATATTTGGTTGTTTCTTTTATTTATTTAGCTCTAATTTTCACTTAATGGTTTCTAGCAATTGAAATGATTGCACGCCGTTTGAGGAAAGAAGCTAGAGAGTGAAATGAGTCGCCGGAACCTGACTTAGCTATCCAACTGACTGACACTTCTAGTTCCAAAGAGAGTGAAGAGGCCAAGGGAGTTGAAGAAGTTGTGATACATCCAATGGAACGACAAAGAACTCTTAGGGAGCTAGCTGCTCCCGATTTAATTCAGCATCCATTGTGTATTACTTTTCCTGCTATAGCCGATAATACAACATTTGAGCTTAAATCTGGACTAATACATTTATTGCCGTCTTTTCATGGCTTGGCAAGGGAGGAACCACACAAGCACTTGCAGGAATTCGATGTGGTGTGTACAAGCGTAAAACCACCAGGAATCACTGAGGAGCAGATAAAACTCCGAGCTTTTCCATTCTCCTTGAAAGATGCAGCTAAGGATTGGTTGTTCAACTTGCCCGTCGGGAGTGTGACCATGTGGATGGATATGAAGCGCAAGTTCCTCGAAAGGTTCTTTCCCGCATCCTGGGCTGCGAATTTGCGAAAAGAGATTTGGGGCATCAAACAGATATCATGGGAGTCTTTATACGAGTATTGGGATCGATTTAATAAGTTAATTGCTAGATGTCCGCAACATCAGATTTCTGAGCAACTTTTAATTCAATATTTCTACGAAGGACTAACTTCAATTGAAAGGAGGATCATCGATGCTGCTAGTGGAGGAGCTCTCATAAACAAGACTCTGAAAGAAGCTTGGGAATTTCTGAGCGACATGGCTATGGACTCTCAACAATTTGGGCTAAAGGATGTCGTGGGAGTGAAAGAAGTTGCCAAGGTAAGTTCCCCTATGCAACAACAATTGAATGAATTAACTGCTTTTGTGAGAAAACTTGTTGTAGGGATCGCTCAAGTGAAGCCATGTGGGATTTGTGCGAGTATTGAGCATCCTACGGATGTTTGTCCTACATTGACACAAGAGGTCGAAGTGAATGTTACAGGATTTGCACAAAGAAGGGCTTATGATCCATATTCAAACACATACAATCCAGGATGGCGAGACCACCCCAATTTTTGATATGGAAATCAGAATCAGCAATCCTTTGGACAATAGCAAACACCGGGTTTTCAACCACATACACAACAGCAGCCACAAAGGACCATGCCTCGAGCTTCCATTCCTGATAACTCCTTGCACGATATGGTTAAAACTATTGCCTCTAATGTTTTGCAATTTCAGCAAGAGACAAGAACAAGTATTAAAAACTTGGAAGATCAATTGTGTCAAGTTGTAAAGGAGGTGCGGTATATGAAAGAGAGGGAGAAAGGCAAGCTACCGGCTCAAACCCACATGAACCCAAGCAATGTTAGTTCAATGGTCTTACGAAGTGGTAAGGAGCTAGAAGGTCCGAAGGTTGTCGCACAAAAAGAGAAAGCTGAAAAGGATATTGAGAAGGAGATTGAGCCAGAAGTGAACAAATCAACTGATCAGGTGAATTATAAACCTCCTATTCAATCAAATGCTAATGTTGTTCCATTTCCTCACAGGTTAGCAAAACTGGCTATGAGCGATAAAGACAAGGAGATCATGGAGATATTTAAGAAAGTAGAGCTAAGTATTCCTATGCTCAATGCAATTAAGCAAGTCCCCCATTTTGCGAAATTCCTAAAGGATTTGTGTACCAAGAAACAGAAGTTGAGAGGGGACGAAAAGGTGCTAGCTGAAGAGACTATGTTCGCGGTGCTGCAAAGAAAATTGCCACAAAAGTGCGGAGATCCAGGTATGTTTGTAGTCCCGTGCAAAATAGGTAAGATAACAGAGCTATGCTAGATTTAGGTGCAGCCATTAATGTTATTCCTAAGTCTATTTTTAACTCTTTGAACATTGGGCCCTTGAAAGAAATGGGGATAATAATTCAACTAGCTGATAGAACTAACGCTTACCCCGAAGGAATAATTGAGGATGTTCTTGTGCAAGTGAATAAGTTAATATTCCTGGTTGATTTTTATATTTTAGATATGCATGATGATAATTCGCCTAATCCTTCATCTATTCTTCTTGGACGACCTTTATGTGCACCGCACAAACAAAGATAGATGTTAAAACAGGGACACTGACCATGGAGTTCGAAGGTGTAAAGGTTCATTTCAATATTTTTGATGCAATGGGGTATCATGTGGAGCCTAATACCTTTTATTGTGTAGATGTCCTTACTGAAAATGTGCAGGAAGACTTTGACTTGAGTGGAAAGGATGAATTAGAGGTTGCACTTACAAACTGCTTGGACATGAACTCTATGGATGAATTTCCCATAAGTGGTGCATTGGAAGAAATCATTCTAGCTTTGCAATCTCTCACACCTGAACCATTAAGGTATGTTGTTGTCAATTCAGTTTTAACAAAATCTGATAAGGGGTTGTTTTCGTCTGTTGTGCAGGCCCCGATTTTAAAAATGAAGCCATTACCAGTAATCATATCTGTTACATTGTCTTCTATCCAAGAAGAAAAGTTAATCCAAATTTTGAGAGAGCACAAGGAGGCTATTGGATGGACATTAACTGACATCAAGGGCATTAGCCCATTTCTTTGTACCCACAAGATTGTGCTTGAGGAAGATGCCAAGCCGATAAGGCAAGCTCAAAGACGGTTGAATCCTGCTATGATGGAAGTTGTGAAAAAAGAGATCCTGAAGCTCTTGGATGATGACATTATCTATCCAATCTCGGATAGCCAATGGGTGAGTCCAATTCATGTTGTCCCAAAGAAGGCGGGAGTTACTGTAGAGGCTGACCACGATGGTAAGTTGATACCGGTTCGGAAACAAACTGGTTGGCACCAATGCATTGACTACCCTAAGCTTAATTCAGTAACAAAGAAAGATCATTTTCCATTACTTTTCATTAATCAAATGGTTGAGAGGTTAGCGGGAAAATCTCATTTTTGTTTCCTAGATGGATTTTCAGGTTATTTCCAAATTGCTATCGCGTTGGAGGATCAAGAAAAGACGACATTCACATGTTCTTTTGGCATATTTGCTTATAGAAGAATGCCATTTGGCTTGTGCAATGCCCCTGCGACATTTCAACGGTGTATGGTAAACATATTTTCTGAATATGTATGAGAGATTATTGAGGTTTTTATGGATGATTTTCAGTGTATATGGAGATGATTTTGACATTTGTTTAGACAATTTGGCTTTGATTTTGAAAAGGTGTAAAGAAACCAAGTTAGTGTTGAATTGGGAAAAGTGTCAGTTTATGGTAGAAGAAGGTATAGTTCTAGGTCACTTAGTTTAATCCAAAGGAATAGAGGTAGACAAAGCCAAGGTTGATATTGTCTCTGCTTTACCCTATCCCACTTTTGTGAGGGATTTGCGCTCTTTCTTAGGTCATGCAGGGTTTTATCGCCGGTTCATTAAAGATTTTTCAAAGGTGGCTGCTCCTCTGTTCCGGTTGTTACAAAATGATGTGCATTTTGAGTTTGATGAAGAGTGTAAAAAGGCTTTTGACAAGATTAAGGAGTTGTTGACATCACCGCCCATCTTTCAACCACCAAATTGGGACTTACCTTTCGAGATCATGTGTGATGCAAGCTACACGGCAGTAGGGGTTGTACTTGGACAAAGAAGTGGAAAGATTCCATGGGCTATCTACTATGCATCTAAAGCACTCAATGGAGCCCAATTGAATTACTCTACTACTAAAAAAGAACTCCTAGCCGTTGTTTTTGCTTTAGAGAAGTTTAGATCTTATTTGTTAGGTACTAAAGTGATTGTATTTTCTGACCACGCAGCTTTGAGGTACCTAATGGCGAAGAAGGAAAGCAAGTCAAGGCTTATATGATGGATATTACTCCTACAAGAATTTGATGTGGAGATTCGAGATAAAAAAGGAAGCGAAAATTTGGTAGCTGACCATTTAAGTCGCCTTCCTACAGTTGAAGATGAATTACATTTAAGGGAGTATTTTCCGGATGAACAATTACTTGCAATTTCTTGTTCATCTCCTTGGTATGCTGATTTAGTGAATTATCTGGTCACTAACAAATTCCTTGGATGATGGACAAAAGCAAAGATTGACAAGCTGAAAAGCGATGCAAAATACTATGTTTGGGATGATCCCTACTTGTGGAAATGATGTGCGGACCAAGTTATTCGACGTTGTGTTGAAGAAAGTGAGTATGAGTCCATTTTGAAATTTTATCATTCATTAGAATATGGATGTCATTTTGGCTCCCAACGGACTGTAAGAAAGGTACTCGATAGTGGATTTTATTGGCCTACATTATTTAAGGATTCTTATGAATTTTGCAAAGCATGTGATAAATGTCAAAGAGTAGGCAATATTTCTGCTAGGAATCAAATGCCCCTAACACCGATGTTGTTTGTTGAGATATTTGATGTGTGGTTTTTTGTATATCATACTTGTTGTTGACTATGTGTCAAAGTGGGTGGAAGCAAAGGCCACTCGAACTAAACGATGCTAAGGTTGATGCAGATTTCCTGAAGTCCTTGATTTTCACTCTCTTTGGAATGCCTAGGGCAATTGTAAGTGATCGAGGCACATATTTTTGCAACAAAACCATTTCAGCTTTGTTTCGTAGGTATGGGGTTCTTCATAAGGTCTCAACATCATATCATCCGCAAACAAACGGGCAAGCAGAGGTTTTCAATCGAGAGATAAAGGGAATTTTGGAGAAAATGGTGAGGCTGGATAGGAAGGATTGAAGTTTACGCTTAGAGGATGCGTTATGGGCGTATAGAACTGCATACAAAACTCCACTGGGGATGTCGCCCTACAAGTTAGTCTTTAGTAAGCTTTGCCATTTACCTATTGAACTTGAACATAGGGCTTTTTGGGCGATTAAACAATGTAACATAATTTGAGTGAAGCTGGAGAATGTAGGAAATTATAGTTGCAAGAGTTGGAGGAGATTCGAAACGAAGCTGATGAGAATGCTATGATTTATAAAGAGAAAAATGAGAAATTTCATGATCATAATATTTTGAAGAAAGAATTCACAGTTGGCCAAAAAGTTTTACTCTATCATTCTCGCCTTAAACTGTTTCCGGGTAAGCTTCGCTCTCGATGGATAGGTCCATTTTTTGTTACTAACGTGTTTTCGTATGGTGCAATTGAAATTAAAAGTCTTACCATTGGAAAATGGTTTGTTGTGAATGGGCACCGTCTTAAGCCTTACTATGAGGGATACCAAAGCAAGGAAGTGGATTCCGTAGCTCTTTTTGAGCCACGTAATTAGTTTGAAAGACGTTGTCTCGAGCCAAAGACAATAAACAAATGCGCTTCTTGGGAGGCAACCCAAGTGTTTTGATTTGATTTTGTGTGCTTTTAGTTTTGTTGTGTTTCGGAGTCAATTTCATGCCTTGTTTTTGGTGTTTTGATGACAGGTAAAATTTTTGTGGTTGAGTGAAGCAGAATGGGAATGATTCTTAGGCATGGCCATGTTTTCTGTGATTGATGAGAGGAAAGAAAAAAAGATTTAAGAGAAATCAGAACATATTGCTTCCTTAGACGTGATCACGCCTAAGACAGTTTTACATATTGAAAAATTGCAACAGAGAGGGTTTAATTTGGGGATTTTAATTATAATAATAATTATTATTATTATGATTACACTAAATTAACCCTAATTCTCTGTTCTTTTTCCTCTCTCCCTCTCGATTCAAACCAGCAAGCCGCCCCGCTCCGCCCTGAATCAGTTCACGCCGCCGTTGCTTTGCTCTTGCTAAACCGCCGTCGTCCAGCCACCGGCTGCTGCTCCTCCGCCAGTCGAGATGCCGGTCCATGAAGTCGCCCAGAGTCACCGGTTCTCCGCCCCTAAGCCGTCGCCCAGCCGCTGTCCATCTGTCCGATTACGGTCCGCCATCCTCCGCTTCGAACCGCCGGTCTGCAGCCCTGCCCTCCTAGCCGTTACTTGCATTCTTCAGGGAGTTCTACTTTTTTTTTTCTCTATCGCATTCTATTCCCTTAGATAACTCCTATCGATTTTGCTTTCCTATTATCTAGAATTAGTTGATCTATGCAAATTTGGATTAGGGAGTATATGATCGGGTTACTTTGGGGAAATTGATGAATGAATGCATATGGATGACTAGGCCAGATTTTCTTTTTTTTTTGGATGATTGCGCTTGTTTGACTGTTTGTTTCTCGATTGTTATTGGAGTTGGAGTTCATTGCGGAATTATAATTTGATTGTTACTTCTCTTGAGTGTAGGCTATGGGCAAGGCCAAGATATCGGATCCGGTTACTCCCCGGATTCCAATGGCTACGCGGTCGTCGACTATTTCCAAACAAGGAGGACCTAAAAGGACTAAGGCACAGGCTTTGAAGTGCAAGAGATCACCTCCGTCGCAAGGTAGAGATGTGGGTAGCTCTAATGCTGAATTGACAAACATTATGCCCACAATTCCAGTCAATCCCCCTGATACTACATTTACCAATGGCGGGCACGCAAAGGTAAATCAATTCAAGTGTTGCCTCCGACTCATGTTGGGGGCCATTTACACTCTTTCACACCCGAAGAGCAACAAAGGTATGAATTTTTGTGCACCAAGAACGTTTATTCGGGTAAGTGTATTCATGTTGAAACACTTGAGACTTTGGGCATTAAAGATGCAGTTTTAGATTACCTGTCTAACATTGGTTGGCGTTGTTTGTTCACTTACCCACAACCTAGTTTCATTGAACTTGCCCTTGAGTTCTTCTCTACATTTGTGTTTGAACTGCCTAAACAATTTGATGTTATGCAACCTAATGTGATTAGATTTCGCTTGCTTGGTAGAGTTTTTAAGCTTTCTTTAGCCGAATTGAATCTACATTTGGGTTTTGTGACTTCAGAGGAACTTGATGATGACTCTTTCAGTACCGCTGCTTGTGCTTTTGTTAAGCCATTTTCTGTTTCATTTGAGAAGTTGTGGAGTGATTTTTTTCCGTGGATGGGAAAATTTGTTTTGATAATAACTTGCCTGCCCATCACCTGAAGGACCCTGCCCTTCGTTATATACAGCGTTTTATTGCTTCCTTTATTTCAGGGCATCGAGGTACTTCTAGTATTTTGACAAAAATTGAGTTTTTCTTTCTCTGGTGTATGGCTAATGGCATTAAGGTTAACTTAGGGTACTGGCTGGCTGTACAATTTAGTGAAGTGTTTAAGAAGAAAATTGATTTGATTGGTGCCTTGTTCATTACTACTCTTGCATTTTGTTTGGGTGTTCTCCCTAGCATTGATGATTCTGTTATTTCTAGGTTGCGCCTCCATCAGGTTGGGTCCATGGAGTACTTAGATTTGGCGGTGTTATTCCACATGGGAATGGTTAAGAAAATTAATAATGGATATCGTCTTGTTACTCTGTGGCGTCGGCCGTCCCATCGGGATGCCATGCAGTTTGATGCCAACCAAGGGGCGTCTCCTGTCGATGATTCTACTGAGGATGGCGCTCCTTCGAGATCCGCCACTGGCACTGCTCTACAGGCGCGTGCAACCGATATTGACATTTTGAAGAAGGACAATGTTGAGCTTCGTAGCAAACTTGATGAGACTTTGGTTGGACAAGCAACCCTGCAAGGACAGTTGGACTCTATTGAAAAGCTCTTGCGCCCGTCATCGATCCTAGACGGGCCGGTCGCCCCCACCTATTCCAAGGAAGTTTCTTTTCTCCGTCTATTTTTGCAATAGGGACATTGCATGATTTCAGTGTAGGGGGAGATTAGAACTTTTGATTCTCTATAATGCTTTATTTTGATATACTTCCCTGCATGTCCTCTTGTGTATGTCGAGTTGAGATTGTTGTGCTTTACTTAGTTTATTAGGATCTTGACGTGTTGTTGATGAAGTTAGATGATGTGTGTGCTTAGCCTTCTAACAAAGAATCCTTAAGTGAGTTGTTTGAGCCTTATTTGAGCAATTTTACTCATATATATTATATATGCTCAATTTTTTTTAGATTGTGTGAACACATGTTGTATTTGACTTCCTAGAACTTGCCTGTTTATGCTTATTAACTTTGCGTTTATTGAGAATTGATGGGATTAAAATGATAAGGCACTAGGTTTACCCTTGTTGGCCTTAATTTCATACTTTCACCCCTATTATCCCCTAGTGAACCAAAGTTTGAACTTAATGTTATTATCTTACGTTTCTTGGTTTATATTTAACCCGAGCCGATATGCCATTTTCTTGGAATAAGCCAAATGTTTACTTGAACCCATGGGAACTCGACGGATTGTTCTTTGATTCATTACATTAGATTATTTAGAGTTGCATATCGTCACTATATTATTCGATAGTTGCATTTGAAAGTTCTCATATATGTGGCACAATTATAAATTCATATATATTTTTGCCAAAAGTATTTCATTGACCAACCTCCTAAAAAAAACACTAAAAAAAGAGAGGAGGTTGTGTGAAAAAAGAAGAGAAAAAAAATATTCTGAGTCCTAAAAATAAAAATAAAAAATGGGGACTCGTGAAAAGAAAAGTGAGTATGATGTTGTCTTGCATTGATCAAATCTTGGGAAGTATTGTGTTGTTCTTGTTATGCTGTTCTTATTCATACGTGTGTACGACTTGCGTTCATTTTGACGTGATGAATTGATAGATTAATTCCTCGATCCCATTAGCCATTGATAACCCTTTTCCTACCCGAACCAAAGCCCCATTACAACATTTTTATTAAGACCTTTGATTATGAACATTGATTTTCGATGAATTGTGGAGTATATTTGATTTGCTTGCAAGCCTATGAGATTTTTTGTTTACTTCATGTGCATTGAGTGGATATAGCCTAAACACTTGAGGGTGAGAGCTTAATTCATATACATTTTCCATTTGAGTGGTTAGTTGGTTTTGCATGCATTGAATCCGACGTAGTTGGCGGCATGGTTGAGTGACTTTTGCACTAGTAGGTATTTCAATTCTTAGTTTGGATATATGCTTGAGGACAAGCATGGGATAGGTGTGGGGGAGTTGATATATGCGATATTAGATAAATATTTTGCTATACTTTAAACGGTTTTTGGTTGCGAATTTTGTATATATGCTCCTAATGGTGTGTTTTTGAACTTTCTACTAGGCGTTGAGGAGTTGGCAAATTTTTGGCATATTTGAGAGAAAAGCCAAACGCAGGAAGTCCTTAGGTGTGATCACGAAGCATGAAGAATGAAAACTTGATTAACCAATTACTTTGTATAATGAAATTGATTAAAAAACGACAACAACTTTTAGACCAATTGGTTAATCTGAAGAAAAAAAAATTAATTCTATATCTTGAGTGGATTAAATTGGACCGATCAAACATCAATTGATCTAAAAAATAAATCTTAAAAATTCAACACGAAACTGCTCGGATACCAATTGTTGGAACTTATCAGGAATTTAATCCTAAGCCCAGGATTTACCGTGTTGTAATAATTGAGATAAGAAAATAAGCTAATAAGATCTAGCCTTATTCCTCAGCATAGTCGGATTCAGATCTACAATCCGATGGAGGGTTTCGTGTTCTTCAGGTCTATGGCGCAACCCCTCCTGAGAGAACCCGGTTTCTACCGTTACTACTACGATGAGATATGGTAAGTAATGGATGTTGCGTCTAGACCTGGGATCACAACCCTATTTATATCTCTTATTATTAATTGGCCTTATCATCCAATTAATAAATTACCGAGTTTCTGCACATAGGAGACCAACATTTACTAAATACATCTAAGCCCAATAAATAAATCACTTAATATTGGTTTAATCTGATTGATAGACCAAATAGTTACATTTAACCCACAATTGTATTTTTAATCCAACAAGCTCCGAGAGAGACAGCGGGCAAAGGCGGTTTCCTCCGACGGACCAGCAACGGCAACTTTAGTTAGTTCGCAGGTTGAAGTATCTCTTCCAGCAATGGACATCTTCGGGTTTCCGGAAAAATCTGGAGGAGATCCAATTCGTCATTTCTGTCCAACGCTACTACGAAATCTCAAAATGATGTTGATATTCTTTATATTTCTTTTTGATTTTTGTAAATCAAACAAGACAATAAAGATATTTTCTTCAACGGAGTGAAAACCCGAACCAACACACGCACACCACTACCGTCAATTAAACTCCGCCGAAAAACAATAAAAACTGTAATACAATCGTATAAACCAAAGATTTCGACCTTCTACTGAAATACCACCATTCGCCGCATCAGATAGCTTCTAAATCACCGGAGACTGCCCCGCCCGCGAGTTACTGTTAAAGCTTGCATTTCCACCGTTCGGATAAGGAGTGATACCAAAATTTCTCACGAAAAATTAATTGGAAAGATAGGTTAGAAGTGGGTAAAATGAGAGGGATAATAAAAATAAATAAATAAAAGAAAAAAAAAATGAATAGGGAGTTATGCAAAACAATTTATGTAAAGAGGGACTGCAGTAAAATAATTTAAAATATCGACTAATTCTAAACTTATTTGTAAAATTGAGGATTTAAGTCCAATTGTCCGTAAGATTATTGAATAATAGTATTTAAATTTTACTAAAATATGTAATTATTATTTATTTTGACACAAATATAAAAAAAGTATTTTGAGATTTTTAAGGTTTAGATATAACAAATATAATATTTTTCCTTGTAATATAAGTAGTTTTCTAAATATACGGAGATGCTGTTTTGTTTATAATAATTTAATTCAAGTTTAAAATAAAATTTTGTCTTGTGCTTTTATTTTTTTATATGTGTATTTAATTTTATGTATAATGTGTGCTATTTATTTTTTTATATAAAATATGATATTTTTTATTAATAATTATAAAAATATTGATATGACTTACACAAAATTAACAGTGAGATGTGTGTTATTAAGTGCAATTTTATATATAAATTAAAATTACTATCATACTCCTTTAAGAAATCATCACCGTTAGATTAAGTCGTTAGTTGGACGGTTCAAGGCTAATGAACGCGCTAACGGTTCTCCACTAGTACTGTTTGTTTGTGTTAATATAGGGAGTAATTACATCATTAACTCCTCATTTTGAGTTTTCCTTTTAAATATTCAAAATTTTGTGATTTGGAAAATAGTGTTGCTATAAATTGAATTGTTTTATTCGAGGAAAATATCTCTCTCACTCGCGTCGCGTGGGCCGCCAAGCACGTGCGAGGAACTGAGTAAGAATAAGGTAGGGGTGCACTTCTCATGTGTGGGCCGCCGCCTCGGGTTATATATGTCAATTCGGATTCAGTGTCGCTGTTTCTCCTCCTTGTCTGTGTAGGAAAGGAATTCGAATACGCGGAATCCACGAGAAACTCCCCTCCTTCGAGTTTGTATTAGCGCTGGGATTTTGATCGGGAAGCGTGTTGTTAGCTGTTGGAGTTGAGATATAGCAGTGTTTCGTGATGGTGCAGTTGATGAAAAGCAGGGAGCCGGAGCAGCTGGCCGGGAAGATTGCGCCGGATACGGCGGTCAAAGTCGAGGTGGAGGATCCATTGGAAGAAGAGCACGGATCACTTCATAAGCGTCCTAGAGTAATTCTTTTTATTTTCGGCTATTAATTTCTTTCGGTTGGTGGTATATATGCGTTTTGCGGTTTTTGAAATTCCTGTGTTTGTAACTGGTAACGCATAGTTTGGTTCCGATGAATTTATGGTATTTCTGAAAAATTTTGTAGTTTGTGAAGATGCATTTGTTGGCTAATTGAGGAGTTTCGATCTATTTTGACCGATGCTGAAATCGGGTAGAGCATGTTACATAATTCCAGAATAATTCGTGTACGTAATCAAAGATTAAATCAGGATTTTGTGAAAAAATGGGGCACATTTGTTAGGGTAATTATTTATGCATTAATCCTAATAAACTTCGGATAAGTTAATTTATACATTAACCATACCCCTCCGTAGATGTACCTTACCTTTGAAATCGTAATCTGCTATTATTGTTGTTGTTTATAACTTCTAGATTGGTTTTGAGTCTAAAATTATACAAACAATTCAGATAAGAAAGTAGCACAAGAGTTTATGTATAATGTAAAACGCAACTTTGCATTCTACTGTTGGAAATTTCAATGATGAGGGACTATACGTGTGCCTGCAGCTCAGTCTTTCTGCATTTGATTTTGTGATTAGTCTATGTTCACTCAATGTTTATCTTCTTTACAGTTATTATAGGACATCACAAAACTGTCATCCCTATGGAGATTGGAGAAACTGGAGTTCAAGTTAGATATTTGTTATTCTAAAGCCTATATTATTTCCTTTTACAGCAGCAGAGTATTGCAACGGGAGGTTATGCTGTGCCAGCTTCACAATGCAATCCACTGGATGAGCCTAGTCCATTGGGTCTACGTCTGAGGAAAAGCCCATCTTTATTGGAATTAATCCAAATGAAACTTTCCCAATCCAGCAGCCATAAAGCTGGAAGTCAGGGTCGAGGTAAAAAACCTCTGACTGGTATTGCATCTTCGGGTGACAAACTCAAGGCCTGCAATTTTCCAGCTTCACTTCTTAGAATTGGGACCTGGGAGGTACACATTTTATACTGGTCTCATTCATTTCATATGCGAATATGCTACCTGAATCACTAACTTTTATCATCTGTTATTCCCACAGTACAAATCAAGATATGAAGGAGACTTGGTGGCAAAATGTTACTTTGCAAAACATAAGCTTGTGTGGGAAGTTCTTGATGGTGGCCTTAAGAATAAAATTGAAATTCAGTGGTCTGATATTATGGCCCTGAAGGCAAATTATCCAGGAGATGGCCCAGAGACGCTGGATGTTGTGGTATGCTCATGTTTCACTATCTATTTTTGTTTGTGTTTTTATTTTCTGTATATTTGGCGTCTCCATCTGCAGAATGTCTTGAATGCATTCAAATTGCTGTTGCTTCCTTATTAATTATTTTTCAAAACTATATATGTATATATATACAGCTTGCTCGCCAACCTCTATTCTTTAGAGAGACTAATCCGCAACCTCGGAAGCACACACTTTGGCAAGCAACATCTGACTTTACTGGTGGACAAGCAAGTATTCATAAGTATGTTGCGATCTTTCCAGAAAACATGCTTCTATTCTGATTGCCCCCACTTCTATTTCTTCTTTCTTGAATCTTGATGCATCTTTATATTCCACACATTTATATTTGGCCATATTATCTTCTACTATATAACATGAAGATTGATCCTGCTGTCCTGCTTTATTAGTTTGTTTACATCAACAGTGCTTTCTTGAAGAATTTTAAATTTTTGTCTACACTAGAGCAAATTCTTATTTTTTTATGGCTGCACTTAAATCTAAATGTGAAAAGAATGTGAAAAATCACGTGGACATGCTTCTACGTTCTCAGCTACTTTGTCAAGAATTCTTTCTTATATTTAGGTTATAAGTTGGATACCTAAATAGTAAGTGTTCAACTGAAGGAAAACTGTTTTTCATGAACCAGAATGAGGATATTCTTTGGCTTGTAGTGACCAAGGCACAGCCTTTCTTTTTTCCTTTTTAATAACATGATAAGGTAGTGTCACAAGCTGTTACATTGGAGGACAAATAAAATACATTCCTGCTGTTGGATCATATCTAAAGTTGTCTCCGAAGTGGTTGTTGAGTCTGAGCCCAGCAAATTGGTTCATTCCTAGAAATTTTGGGCATCATCTTTATCACCTCTTTGCTTGTTACACTGATTCAAAGTGGAATTCACATCTTGTAGCCATGAGAATTTAAAAGCAGCTTTGTGAATCTATAGAAGTATAAAATATATGGCCAACGACTCTATCAGAACCTCCATTAACCAGGATGTACACAACACCTTATAAAGATTTCTTTCAAAACAAAATAAGTCAGACATCGAAAGTGGGCAGAAAAATACTCTGCTAAATCATTGTTTTTTTTGTGGTTATTTGATTACTGCTGTATCTGCTGCATTGGGTTGAATAGAGATTGCACTGACCTAAATATATTTCTGTATAGATATATCTGCATTGGGATTCCTGTGATGAATTTATTCATTTAAACATTTCTCATGAGGAAGGAAATGCTATGTGACTGACCTTGTACCTTTTTTTTTTTTTTTTCTGCAGGCGGCATTTTCTGGAATGCCCGCCAGGGTTGTTGGGAAAACACATTGAAAAGCTTACTCAATGCGATCCTCGCTTGCACTTCCTTAGTCAGCAAGGAGAAATAGCCTTGGATTCTCCGTATTTTGAATCAAGAACCTCTGTAAATGATGAGGGACATGAAGATGAGAATGACCTTGATCTGAATACTAAAGGAAGTCCTTCACTTTTCAGCGTCACTGAAGCTGGTTCCCCTTCTGGAGTACAATCTTCTTTCTTGAAGAACAATGAAGAGCCTTTTGGCAAAAATTCTGAAGCTTACCCTTGTGAAACACCTTCTCCTTGCTCAGGTAACTAATTATAAAGGTGTTGAAGTTATATGAAAATAAAATTACGAATTTGACATATGAATTCTAGTGTTTTGTGTGGTTTTTCCCCTGATCTGTGTAACATGTGCAGTAGTATATACAGATAGAGATGGGTTGAGTCTTGGAGATGAAAATAATCCGCAGCTTAAAATGATGAGAAACTGGGAACAAATCAAAGTTCCTGGGATGAAGCCGTCCATGTCAATGAGTGATTTAGTGAGCCACCTTGAAAATCGGATATCCGAGCAGGGGACGTCGAGCAATCCAAATCTGTCGAATGAGGAGTGGGAAAGCCTCGAGATTCTGGACAACATTAACCAGTGCTTATTCAGTGACTTCCAAGGTATGCCAGAGTCGGATGAGAAGTCCCTGATGGCTCGGGTGAACTCTCTATGCTGCCTCCTGCAGAAAGATGGCGATGCTGCAGCAGGATCCAACAAACATGATAATGATAATGTTGAGGATGGCCCAACTGTTGAAGGCAATCAAGCTAACAATGCAAGTGCAGGGAGTGAGTTAAAAGTGGGTGAACAGAGTCAAGGAGCAGGGGGTGGGGGTATGTCCCGGAAGGACTCGCTGAATGACTTGTTGCTGAACCTCCCAAGGATTGCTTCTCTGCCGCAGTTCTTGTTCAACATCTCTGAGGAGATGGAGGGAGAATCAGGCTAGATAGATATAGATAGATATATATATATATATATATATATAGCAGTAGTGATGAAAGGAAGGTTGGTTGGTTGGTTGGTTGGTTGGTTGGAGGTATTTAGGATTCTGAAATGATTGTGATTGATGAAGAATCCTGCAAGACTCGTTATCTTGTGGTGTGTATATACTTGTTTTCCTTAAGGTCTTTTGCTCTGTGTGTGTTCTAATTTTGCATCTATTACATTTCCTCCTATCCCATTTCATTTTCGGTGCTCGGCTTTCAACTTTTGCCATCCTCTCCTCTACTAATTTGTTGAATCCCGAGTCAAAATTTGGGATAATAAGTTCGTAAGCTTTTACAATCTTTCCTATCTGTAAATTATGATCCACATATGGTTTTAAAAATTTGCACATTTCTCCTTTATTGTATAAAAATTATATGAGAATTTCTTTTTTTATATTTTCGAAAAATTGAACAAAAAGGTTTTTTTGGGATTCAATGCAATATTTTAAAAAAAATAAAATGAAATATAATGTAATTTTTAAAAAATTCTGTACAGTATTTTTTTAAATTCAAAAAAGAATTTGTTTAATTTCTAAATAAAATGGTGCCAATTTTCCAAACTTATGAATGTATTACACTGGACCAAATTTTATGAACTAGGAAGTTTACCATGACTTGATTTGTATTATTATTTTGCTAGTTAATATACATATAAATATATTTTTTAAAAATTAATTATAATAAACCGGATCGGGCTAGGCACAATCCGAACTTTATAGGCCTAGGTACGGCCTGGAAAAAATTCGGGCCTATTTTTAAGGCACAAGTACAGTTTTATTTTATTTTATTTTATTTTTTTTTTTATGCCAGGTTCAATCAGATTTTCATAAGGTACCTATTTTTGTCTCCTCTAATGTATAATATAATGTTTGTAATTTAAATAAAAATTAAGTGGTATTTTGATATTAATATATGTTTATTTTTCTAAAATTTGAATGAGACAAATGAATGATAAAACAGAATATTTTAAGTTGAAATGATGAGAATATTATTTATAAAATTCAATTTTCAAAGATTACTGCACACCACCAGCACACCATACCCCTGCATGTACATAGCTGGCTGCAGGGTGAAACTGTTGTGTAAGCTTACTGTACTGTGTAATTAGTAAATAATTAAAAAAATATATTAGTAAAAATAATTATGATTTAATAAAAATAATTATAAATTGAAATTAAGATATGTAAATAATTTATTTAAAATAAATAATTATAAATTATGAATTTTAAAATACAATTAACGTGTATAATTATATTTCCAGATAAAAAAAAAAAGAAATTATGTGGGACGGACGGAATAAAAAGAGTGAACAAATTAAGTAGAACGGAGGAGTAATATTTTCTATTCTATTTATTACTCCATCTATTTTAATTTAAAGTATCTTTTTACTATCTCGTCATTCTTATTTCAAAATATTTATTTTGTATTTTTAGAAAAAATAATCATATATTAATACTAAAATAACTTTAAATGTTATTTAAATTACAAACATACAATTAATTTATACACAAAGTCAAATGTAAAATATTCTTTCACGTTTTCACTCACAAATAAAATATTATTATTTTTTAATTTATTACAAAACTCCATAAGATCCCTTTTGAGTTGGGTCAGAGTGGGTATTATTTTGATAAATTTTCATTTGCAATATCATTGCTTGTAATGTTGGAAAATATTTTCTTTATATTGGTCCAAGTAGTGATGGTCCCAGTCGATAAGCAAAAGAGTCAATTATTCGGCGCATCCGGAATTCCTCTTTAACTGTTAGTGGTTTCATAATGGAGCAAGCTGCATGAAATTCCTACAATTTATATGGCCCTTCTCATGCAAAGCAATGAAAAGAAAGTAAAAAAATGTATCAATCAAGTTTGTAACCAGCATTACCTTTGATCTTAGGTAATGTAATACACAATTGCGGTAAATATTCTATTAATACATAATTATAAGAATAATCTTGAATCTGGCCACGTTTCAAAGAACATATGAAACAATCATAAACATGAAACACAAAAATTGCAAAAATACCACTAAATAAAGAATATTCAATTCATGCAATGCAAAACATATCTCACAAATTCAAAATTAGAGTCAAAATTCAATCTTGGACTAGAATAATAATACTAAATAAATAAATAAAAATTAACCACTCGTGATAAAAAAAAAAAAAAAAAAAGAAAGAAGATGATTTAAGCTCCTCTTTAATATTTTGTTTGAGCTTTAACTTTTTCTCATTTTTTTATCTTTTTTAAAAAAAGACACCAAATCTCAAATTTCCAAAAATATTGCCCTTGTTCTTTCTCATAAACATCGAGTTCTATTTGTAGTGTAATTTATATGGCAACAATTAGGGTGCTGATTTTGTTATCAGCAAATTTATCTTAAGTAATTAGCAAATTATAAAAAAAAATAAAAAATAGCAGATTACTAAGTTAGTACATTAAATTAAAATATTGTCAAATCGTCGTAAGGAAGATAATATATGTTGTATTATATAATATGTTATATATTATATTAATATTTTTTGTAATAAACATTTTCTATTTTGATCAAATTACTATTGTGCTACGCAATATATTTTTGTTAAAATCAAGATATATCTTGCTATATATATTTAGTTATATAATGTGTTATTCAAATATATAATAAATATTATATTAATATTTACTATTTTTAATAAATATTTGATAATTGGATCAAATCAATACCATATTATTTTGATTCAATCAGGACTGTAACCACATGGTCTTTATATATATAAACAATCTTAATATTGCCCTTGATATTTATTCATAGTGTATTCGACTTTGATTTGTAGATTCAACTTGAAAATACCTAATAGCGAGACTTCTTAAATATTAATATAACATATGGGTTTTATAGTTTTTATTTATTTATATATTGTGTATACTAATAAAATATAATTTTTTATTTAAATTAAATTTTTTTATAATTATTGAATAATTAAAGTGTATTATTTATATTATAATAAGTAAATTTAATATTTTTAAATTTGTTTGATAGAGATTTAAAATTGATTTAAAATATAATGTTTATTTGATTTTTTCTAATAGTATTTTAATATAATACTTTTTTAAAAAATAATATATTTTTATTAAAAATATAAGTACTAAATAGTATAAATTTGTATTTAAAATCATGGACAAACAAATAAATTATTGTCTAAATAAATGAATATATGTAATATTAGGGCCTAGAAATGAGAAGAATGGTGGAAAAACCCAATTAAGTAAGTCCATTTTGATGGAGACCCAAGTAAAGGAATAGCATGAAATCCATGGTGAAAAAATGAAGCCTAGGTTGTTTAAACCCAATTGAAGTATGGCTCTGGAGGATTTTGAAGCCTATCGAGTAGGAAAAAATCTGCGATTGGTTAAAATCATGGAGGAAAGTAGCTTCGGAAGCGGTGGCGATTTCAAAGAAAGTAGGTAGATTACATTCAATATCGAAAGTGCGTATTAGGTAAATCTTCGTTCGAGCCTAATACGATTAAAATATATAATTATTATTTTTTTTAAAAAAAGAAATGAACAAATTATTTGAGATGAATCGAAATAGAAAATATGAACAATTTATGTAGGACAAGTGGAAAATTAAATAATCGTTTTAATTCAAAATTTTAATATTATCAAAATATAAGAAAATACAAAAAAAATATCGATTTATTTGGTTTTAGCTCCAAACCAAAATGATAGTGTTTGTTTTGTGTTTTGATATTTTATATATGAGGTATGAAAAATTTTGTAGGTTATATAAAAATAAAAAGTATGTGACACGGCTCCGAATAACCTGAACCCGACCTTAGACTGAGCGATTGCAATCCGGGTTCGGTCGAAGCTACTAGTTTGCTTAGAGGTTGTGATTCTTTGATCTTAATCAAAATGTGTGGTTTAGATTAGCTTGCCACTTAAGATGTGTGGCTTAGATTAATTTGTCATTTAGTATATATAGTCTTGTTTATTTTCTTGATGGACACACAATTTAGATAAGAGAACAATTAGAGAGGGTTTACCCTAGCTTTGGAGTGATTCCTTAGAGTTTGAGTGATTCCATTCGCCGAGAGGGCAAATTGATTGTTTGAGCTTTGGATGCAATTGCGTGAGAGAAGGAAGACGCATCGGCTGCCTCGGATAGTCCGTGGATTCTCGAAAGTGCTTGCTCGAGCGGAGTGATTGCTTTTGGAATTCGATTTATTCTATTTTTCTTTGGATTCGTCATTTGTAAGTTTTCCAAATATATTAGATATTTCTTTTTCGAGTTTGATTCATGGAGATGATCTTAATCCATGTCATAAATTGGTATAAGAGCGGTTTTTGATTTGATCATAAGATTTCGAAGCTATCTTGTTCACAACATGTTCGATCATATGCCTCTATGTCCTGTTTGATCAAATCCGTGTTAAAATATAGGTTTAATTCATGTTATTTGGAGATAGTTCATAGTTTCTGGAAATAGCCATTTTGTTGTTGCAAAATTCCCTCTCTAGTGGAAATGATAGCTAGTTCTAATCCATTGTTAGTTGCCAATCATGAGTTGTGTTCTTGAATTTGTCTCTCAAGAAAACACAAGAAGTAGTGATTTTTGGCCGGAACTAACAAGCTTTGTTAGTAGTTTTCTAAGTATTCTTAGACCTTGATTGAGTAATATAGTTTGTTTCGAGCCTAAACACATCAAATGATCAAGGAAGTGAGTGAATTGGGGGATTAGAAGTTTGAATTTGTGAGTTTTGTCGGTAAATCATATTTTGGCCGTAACTTTTGCATACGAAAACTGATTTACTATTGTGAGAAGGTTTTTCGGAATCGGTATTAAATAGATCTCTGAAATAACATTTGAATTTAGTTGCAGTGCACAACATTCTTTTTTTGAGAAGTGTGGCAAAAATGCAGTGAAAGAGCCAAAATAGTAATATAAATTTGAAAAAGATGCACTCTAAACATTAAATAAAAGCCCAGAGCATATATATTTTTTAAAAAAACAAAAAAATAAAATAAAATTGAGAAACACACTTTCTCTTCATGTTATAGTGCATGGTCGATCATTTCGATAATCATAGTTAAAACTCATTAAACCTATTCTGAAAGAGTAGTTCTATTATTTTGTGGGGTTTTTTTGAGTTATGAGAGATTGTCATGATCAAATGATGTTCTAGGGATTTTGATTCTAGCTTGTTGCTTAATT